GGGGGGGGGGGGGGGGGGGGGGGGGGGGGGGTGGACAACGTACCTGCAGCCCCCGTAGTGCAGTAGTGGAGGCCCTTGAGCTGGGCCTGAGAATCGACAATGTAGCAAGAGGAGAGGACGTTGACCTTTTGGACGGCGTCCTGACCGTAATTACTATTTAAATTACTACTCTGGTTACTGACGAGCGCCATTGTAGATGATTGTCGGGGTGGTTGATCGTGGGGATATATTTGGGTCTGACGGGGTCGGGAATTTCGGATCGTGCCGTCGGCTGAGGTGGTTGACGATGAGTCGCTGGCTGTGTTCTTGCGTCTGGTTGGGAGTATCTCTGTCGTTTCGACAAGAATTGACTGTTTGATGGGAAATATTGCGGTTGTCTTTGCTTGTTGTGGGACGTACTGCACGAGGCGGTTGATGGTGATGAGAGTCAGAGGTTGTTGAGGAGGAGAGAAATCGGAAAGAGGAAAATTGGGGGGTGGCGGCCACATGTATACTTTTTTGTGGAGCACGTCATGGAGGGCGAGGCGGTGGCCACGGGGGGCTGTTACAGGCCGGGGGCTTTACGTGCTGTGTGCTGTTGTTGTGGGCGGCTTAGTGGTAGTGGTACTCTGTACAGTGGTGCACATGTACAGCGGTGTACGGGACTTCGTACAGCGGAACTGGACAGCGCCCGCGGTACACCTAATGTATATCTGCTCGTACAATCCTGCTGGAGAGTTGCCAACGGGAAAGAAAACGCGTCCAGCCGGCGCCGGCGGAGCGGGGTAAGTGGGCCATCAATTGGCATCCATACAGCCAATAGCCGGACGCGGTAACCCCCATTACTTCAGTGCACCACAACTTCACGACTATTACTGCAAGTCTCGTATGCCTCCCAGATATCGATTCTTCCCTCACAGAATGCCAAATGGTAGTGACTGTGAATACCCGTCTGTGCGTATACTACTCACTCTGTTCTGATGACGAGTTTGATACTGAAACTTAGCGGCGGCTTCTGCTCTCCTACACTGCCCGACCGTCATCGGACAGTATAAAAGTCACATGGCAGTCTCCTTGGTGGCGACGCGGCTGCTCTTGCAAGGCCGGCCATGATATCATCGAGCCCTCTTAGCATCATTGTGCATTCCGATTGGTAATTCTGGGGTCACGAGATATCTTCCTTGCCTTTCTCTACCAGGATCGTAAGGCTAGATCCTCCAACGGCGGCAAGCTGCCGCCGATACCCAATCTGTCTCGAATGTGTCGCTATAAGAGGAAGGGGTTTGGCGTCTCTTAACGTGCCGCCTGCTATTATGAATTGGTCGTTTATTACGACGTAATTTACTTGAGAGTCCCAATATTGGCTTTTCTTGTACAATTGCCACCATTCGGTTTGATTCATTCGATAATGCTGCATGCCATCAGTAAGCGGCTGTGAGAGAGCATTGCTGCCAGATATTAATAATAATACATAACTGAGTTGGAACCTAGCAACGCCGCCACTACGCCACTCTACAAGTATTACACAAAGTGGCGTGTGGTATGGGGGGGGGGGGGGGGGGGGACAGTTTGACGAGCAGAACACGACACTGGTATAGACAATCCAGGACATACCATATAGCGTACAATCCCCAGCAGCTCATCTTCTTAAACTCGCGTGGCGAGATGGATTAACCGAAACGTCCAGTGGGTGGCCAGTGGGTGGCCAGTAGGTGGGCAGTGGGTGGGGTCGGGAGCCTGAGTCGCGCATCCCGGATTCCAGTTCCAGTTCATTCAAGAGTTTTCCAAAAGCTTCTTCCCCCGTCACTATCAACCCCGCCACCACCACACGATCGAAATTTCCGCGAATCGATGATTGCCCAGCAAGCCGCCTATAGAATTCGAGCCATCCAAAACACGTTGACGAATCCTAGACAGCGGGTAGCAGCAGCTTCATCTGTTCATCGTGAGTTTTTTTTTTCCCCTCCTCTCCTCCCTTCCTCATACAGCACAACGCTTTATCATTGTAATTGCAGATTTCTAATCAAGTTGGAAGGTGGTGACGCAGCAGCAGCAGCACAGAATCGACGTCTAGCCACCATGGCATCCGCAACAAACACCCGGAACTACAAGTTCAACCATACCATGTGAGACTAGAGATCATACGTACGATGCATTCCCGTTCCTGTCATGTTCCGGAGACGCTAACATCTGCCGGTACCCGAGGCTCCGCATCAAGGATCCCAAGAAGTCGGGTAAGTGCAGCCAGCCGGCACCTTGATTGACCTTCCCCCCCTCCCCTTCTCCAACCCCGCACACCTCCAGTTGGCTATGGTGGCCACCGCAGAAACGCACACGACAGCTAAAACTTGTTCGGGTTGGCAGTCAAATTCTACGAGTTCCTTGGCATGAGCGTCATCAAGAAGCTCGAGTTCCCAGGTAACAAGTTCGACCTCTACTTTCTGGGATACGACGGCCCCCAAGCCCTCTCCTCCGGCAACTCCGCCTTTGACCGGGAGGGCCTCATCGAGCTCACGCACAACTACGGAACCGAGGACGACGCCGAATACAGCATCAACAATGGCAACAAGGAGCCCCACCGCGGGTTCGGCCACACGTGCATCAGCGTCGACAACATCCAGGCCGCGTGCAAGCGCCTCGAGGATGCCGGTTACAAGTTCCAGAAGAAGCTGACGGACGGGCGCATGAAGAGCATCGCTTTCGCCCTCGACCCGGATGACTACTGGGTTGAGATTGTCCCCCAGCGACCTGTCGAGGAGACTGCCGAGATCAAGGAGACAGATGTTGGCACATATCGCATGGTACGACGCGCACATCCTCACACACGCCCCTTTTCTTTTTTCGTTCTATTATTCCTCCCATCTGTCTGTGTATGAGTGTATACTGATCGGAATAGAACCACACCATGATTCGCGTCAAGGACATTGAAAAGTCTCTTCACTTTTACCAGAATGTCCTGGGCATGACCCTCGTCCGTACGTCGGAGAACACCGCCGCCGGCTTCAACCTCTACTTCCTCGCCTACGTAGACAAGGATTCCGCTCCCGCCGACGGAAAGACGGCCCACATGGAGGGTCTCCTCGAGCTCACGTGGAACTATGGAACCGAGAAGGACGAGAGTTTCAGGTACCACAATGGAAACGACGAGCCCCAGGGCTTCGGACATATATGTGAGCTTGATTCGACCTCGACCCTTCATCCTCCTACACCTTTCGCTGACCCCCCCCCCCCCCCCCCCCCCCCCCCTCTCTTCACAGGCATCACCGTCGACAACCTCGACGCCGCGTGCCGGCGTTTCGAGGACCTAGAGTGCAGCTGGAAAAAGAGGCTCACAGACGGCCGCATGAAGAACGTGGCCTTCTTGCTGGACCCGGACAACTACTGGGTCGAGGTTGTGCAGAATGAGAGGTTTGCCGGCAAGGAGAACTTTTAACGAGCCATCTTTGGAGTAGAGGTTGAAGATGTAAAAGGGTAGAGCGAAACCCGAATAAATGGATGAAGGTGAATCTATGTATTAGCTGATGATGCCTTGACAAGAGGCGTATGGGCATGAATACGTCGTATTACATGGTACTCGTAGGAGCTCCCGGACACGGCACCGAAATAGGTCTAATGCCCGTTATATAATCCACATGCATGATCACGCACCGAGCTTGAGAGGCCGACCACGATCAGGACCAATCATCGTTGACTCTTAGGCGACTCCTGGCGTCATTTCCGCTCCCTGTAAGGTTGGCCGGATGGTTCTAAACATCCCCGTAGCAGGTGGTCTACCGAGGGCATGCTCGGCAGTCCATCGCTGGGGCTTTAGCGGTGCTTTATAACGGTTTGCGTCTAGTGCGGATGGGTCACAGGGTCTGGTCATACCCGGCAAGAACTGGACGCTTCCTGCCCGCGGAAAAAGCTCCCCACCAACATTGAACTTTCCTTTCTCACATCATCGCCAACTACTCTGTCCGGCATCAATCATCCTTTCTGGTGCATCCATTCATCTTGCAACCCGGCGAAAACACCGACGACCCCGTGGCAGTTTTAGCATCGATATTTTCCTTCCATCTTTTGTTTCTCGCACCGAAACAATTTGACGGCGTCGTCATCATCATCTAGTAGCTTCATTTCGTTTTTTTCTTACTTTTTTTAAGTTGCTACCGCCCACTTCCCCCCTTTCCACGCATAAATCGACTCAGCCGATCGACGGATACGCGAATCGACCATTCGTTTTCCCTCGTCGTTATTCTCTCACCGAGTTTCCCCCCCGAATCACACCAAACGGAAGAAGTAGTAGCATGGGAAGAAGAGGTGGCGTTCCGTCAAATGGGCTGGCCAGTTGGCGCCCTGCCGTCCTTGGCATGGGTCGCCTGGTGAGCGTCGGCATCTCCTCCGTCTCGGCGGCGCCCGTGTTCGAGGAGCGCTTTCTCAAGGACCGTCCCGAAGACGCGTCTACGCCGCTGTGGATCCTGGGAGTCGCGTCGATAGCCTTGACCCTCGTCGGCGGTGTGTTTGCTGGTCTGACCATCGCGTAAGTTATCATGCACATGGCAGATTAACTACTAGGTGTATAGTAGTGTTCGTCGCTAACGCTTCTTTTTCCTTCTCTTCCTTTCTCCGTTTTGTAGATTGATGGGTCAGGACAGCATCTACCTCCAGGTCGTCCAGAATGATCCTACCGAACCGCAACACAAGAACGCCAGGAGAGTTCTCGACCTCCTCAACAAGGGCAAGCACTGGGTCCTGGTCACACTGCTCCTCTCCAATGTCATCGTCAATGAGTCGCTGCCCGTGGTCCTGGACCGTACGCTCGGTGGAGGTATCGCCGCCGTTGTTGGCAGCACTGTTCTGATCGGTGAGTTTCCTCTCCCACCCGTCTTCTTTTCAAGAAGTGTTCTTTTCTTTTTTTTACTAACCAAGGCGAAACCACAGTCATCTTTGGCGAGATTGTCCCCCAGTCCATATGCGTTCGATACGGCCTCCCCATCGGCGGATATATGTCGAAGCCGGTCCTGCTTCTCATGTACCTGATGGGCCCGATCGCCTGGCCCACGGCCAAGCTGCTGGACTGGATCCTGGGCGAGGATCACGGCACCGTGTACAAGAAGAGCGGCCTCAAGACGCTAGTGACGCTGCACAAGTCGCTGGGTGAGATTTCAGAGCGCCTGAACCAGGACGAGGTGACCATCATCACGGCGGTGCTGGATCTCAAAGACAAGCCCGTGCGCGAGGTCATGACGCCCATCGAGGACGTCTTCACCCTGTCCGAGGACCATATTCTCGACGAGAAGACCATGGACAAGATTCTGTCGTCGGGCTACTCGAGGATCCCCGTATTCCGCGCCGGCAACCCCGAGGACTTTGTTGGTATCCTGCTCGTCAAGACGCTCATCACCTACGACCCGGAGGATAAGATTCCCGTCCGCGACGTCCAGCTTGGTGCCGTCGTCGAGACCAGGCCCGAGACCAGCTGCCTCGACATCATCAACTTCTTCCAGGAGGGCAAGTCGCATCTGGTCATGGTGTCAGAGTACCCTGGTGGTGACCACGGAGTTTCTGGTGTTGTCACTCTCGAGGATGTTATCGAAGAGCTCATCGGAGAGTATGTTCTTCCTCTCCCTTTCTTGACATGACTCCTTCCTACATGTCTTAGCAGTTGAGAGTACATCATGCTAATACCCCAGCCAACAGGGAAATCGTCGACGAGTCCGACGTCTACGTCGACGTCCACAAGGCCATCCGCCGCCTCACGCCAGCCCCACGCGCCCGCAAGATTGAGGCCGCTGCCGCCGCCGCCGCCAAGAAGGCCGCCGAGCACCCCGTCCTGGTCGACCTGTCCAAGGATGTGGACGATCGGACGGTGCAGTTGGCCTCTCACAGCCTCCTCGCCGAGAACGGCAAGGAGCCTCCCCGCACGGCACTGCTCATGAAGCGCCAGAATTCGCTGGACCCCAACGGCGTCATGGTCAACGGCGAGCCCGAGCCGCTCCGCGAGTCTCTCTACGACCTCAGGCAACAGGTCCGTCTCGGGCCCGCCAACAGCGCCGCCAACCCTCTGTCTACGAGGCAGCAGGCCTTCAAGACGAAGCCTGGACTGGCTGGCAGCGGCGCCGGACCGTCCGGGTTGCATCTTCACGGCACCAGCGAGCTCGACAGGTCCGTATCCGTGTCCGGTAACGACGAGGGCCACAGGGACTCGGGTGAGGGCGAGACGGTCCCGCTACTAGGCAATGAGCAGCAGCCTTCGAATAAGGTCAATGGTCAGCATAGTTAGAGATGGAGCTGGTTGGTTTGATGGGAATTGAATATGACGGGTAGGTGGGATCATGATATGAAAACAGCGGGGAATGAGTATCTCTTTCTGGGCTTCATTTTATTTGATTTTTTCTTCGTTTTTCTAGTCTTCTTACGTCCATCATTACCAGCGGCGTTTAGACGTACGTACAGTATGTCTTAATATTAAGGTTTTTTTTTTGTTTTTTTTTGTTTTTTCTTGATTGTCAATGTAAAATGTCGAGTTCTTTTTCCTCCTCTTCTTCTCGCATCTCATGGTTTGTATATTCAACGCGAGGTTTTATGTCAATCATACCAAATGGCATTCATGCCAAAGCCAGGCTCGGAGACACGGATCCTCGCAACCCTGGCGAAGAAGTCATCCTGCCATCTATACATGTCGAGCCAGCCCTCCTGATCGTCGGTGACGGCAACCCAGTCATCAGACCAAGGGCAGGGCGAGACTGCGTTACTGTGTCCGCCACTGGTGGGCGTGGGGATGAGGCAGATCTGGCGGTCCACGCGGCCGCCGTCGGCGGCGTCGAGACTGAAGGCGGACAGGTAGCCGGTCAGATGGTGCGAGTTAGCGCGGGACGATGCGAAGAGGTACCGCCCCGAAGAGGACAGCTCGCACACGTCGGCGCGGTACTGGGTCCACCGGTCGGGGATGCCCGGGGGCACGAGCGGCCAGTGGCGGCGGGTGTACACAGGCATGCGGGTGGCCTGGTCGACGACGTACTCGCGCAGCACGTTCCCCTTCTCCATCAGGGCGTACAGGTAGTGCCCGGACGGGTGCATGGCTAGCCAGCGGGGGTGGTCGCGCCCGTCCGGGCAGTCGACCGAGCCTACCAGCTCTAGCCGACCGGCCGACGTCGCCGACACCGCCGACGCCGCCGCCTCGGGTGTGGACTCGTCGTTCTCGTCCTCCTTTTTCCGGTGGACCCATAGCTTGTTGGCCCGCAGGTCGGCAGAGTATAGGTGCGTGCCTGACGGGTCAAAGACCATGCCGTGGATGCCCGTGTCAGGCTGGTACTCGTAGTTCTGGACGTTGACGTCTAGCCTGCCCGTCTCGTCAACGGTGAAGACGGACCCGTGGCCTGCGTGGTCGTAGAACGGATTGCAGTAGACTGAGTATGGGGGTTGGCGGGCGGCCAGGAGGAAGATGGCTCGAGTGTTGGTATCGGAGGACGAGGCGAGGGCTGTTTTGGTTTTTCAATTTTCAATCTTCGTTTTCCACTCCCTCCTCGGTCATGTTTTTACCGAGCGATGAGGAAGAGGAGGAGGGGGAGGAGGAAAGACTAACGGTGGTGAAGCATGGGGTGCGATGCCTCGTGGATTATGGAGGTGGGTGACTCGACGCGGAAGCTGGACCACTTTTTCATGGCAGCACCGTAGATATTTTTTCGGGCATGCTGTGATTTTTACCTGTCAGAGAGAGAGAGAGAGAGAGAGAGAGAGAAGGAGATATGCACGTCAAATGTCATCCATGAGATGGGCTCTTGGGTGGGAATCTCAGTTCTCTTGACGAGTTCTAGCCTGAGGGTCTCGTCGTCGAAGGCAAATGTGAAGATGGCACCTGGGGGGGTCCAGGTGCCGACCATGAGGTGATGGATTGGCATCTTTGGATTAGGGGGGAGGGGGAGCGCATGCCTCTTGCCTGAGGCCCCATTCACTTGGTGTTGTTACAGTATGGAAGAATGGAATAGACGGTAAGTGGTCTGATCATTTGGAAAGAAAAGGGAAAGAGAAGGGGGGAAAAAAGGCAGTAATTATCAGATGTATCTCTCGGAAGTGGTTGACAGGCGGGAAAAAAATAGATGAAGGACGGTTGTGGGAGCCTTGATTCCGTGGCTGAAGCGTCTTGCCGGCTATGGCCATCGGGATTGAGGAAGAAATGGTGGTGATGATGATGATGTAGATACTAACCTGTACTGCTACTACTCCGTATTATTACTAGTGATGATACCAAATGGTGAATAGTGGGGGTAGCGGGGGTGGGGCATTGGGGGATGAACATTTACCCCTGGGGCTTGGTGGCTTCTGAAAGGTGGGGGGGGAGAGATGAATCGGGAACGAGATCCGGTAATTACTGTACATGATGTGCTTCTGCTCTGCTCTGCTCTGCTCTGGTTGACTCTGCCTGACTCTGCTTGACTATGCCAGGGTCAGAAGCCGTCCTTACATTCCGGTTGAAGCCTATTGGATAATATTGTTGGATTCTCATGTGGTCCCGTTAGCAGTGGCGATGGTAGTAGTGACAGTAGTGGTGATGAAGTAACAGTAACAGTACACGCAAGAGTATTCTTACCCTGTTCTCCGCACATGCAGAGTGCCGATACCAGTGGTTCTACGTACGGAACATGTTGAATGTAGGTACTATTTACTATCTAGCAGTAAACGCCAACGGATATATACCACCAAAAAGCCGTAAAACGGTTCTCGCCGCAAATAGAGAAAAGCTTTCATCCGTGTAGCCCGTCCCTTTTCTCGGGTCCTGACGCGCGGTCCCCGCATCTCGCCCAAGTCGTTTATCCTGTGATATAATAACCCCAGCTTTCCATCTACTACTCTCTCACTCCTCTCTCCAATTCCTCCTCTTCTTCTCAGGAGTACTGTCGTCAATCTAGTCACCTCCATTCATCCTTCCCTCCTACCAACGTTGTACCTTCCTCCCATACTATACGACTACGACTACTACGAGGGAAATCACGGCCTTGTCCTTCCTCCCCCCCTCCCCCCAAACAATGGCTTCCTCACGGACAAACGGCTCAGTGCCGTACACGAACGGCTCTTCTGCACCTGCGGACAACTCCGGCCGTTTCGACCCCAATTTCACCAATCACGTCATTGAGACCATGGGACCCAACGTGACCCCCCGCAACCGCCAGGTCCTCTCCAGCCTGCTCAGGCACCTGCATGACTTTGCCCGAGAGATCGAGCTTACAAATGACGAGTGGATGACGGGGGTGCACTTTATCAATTCGGTGGGGCAGTGCTCTACCAAGACGCGCAACGAGGCTCACCGGGTGTCTGATATCTTGGGGTTAGAGTCGTATGTTACGTCTCCATCTCCATCCCTTGCCCCCCCCCCCTTCCTCTCCACCGCGCGACTTGCTGACAGGGACCGTGACAGGCTGGTCGATGAGATCGCCAACAAGATCGTCGTGGACGGCAAGACAGACCCTACCTCTTCGGCCATCCTGGGGCCGTTCTGGTCTCCCGACGCACCCTTCCGCGAGAACGGCGACAGCATCATCCAGGACCCGGCCCCCGACGGCCGCGTGTGCAGGATGCACGGCACCATCACGGACCTCCTGACGGGGAAGCCCATCCCCAACGCCGTCTTCGACATCTGGCAGGCCAGCTCCAACGGCAAGTACGACTTCCAGGACCCGGACAACCAGACGCCCAACAACCTGCGCGGCAAGTTCAGGGCCGACCGGGACGGCAAGTACTGGTTCTACTGCTACCACCCGACCGCCTACTCGCTGCCCACCGACGGGCCCTCGTACCAGCTTCTCAAGCTCATGGACCGTCACCCCATGCGTCCCGCCCACATCCACATCATGGTCACGCACCGGGACTACCGGGGCTGCACCACCCAGCTATACCCCAACGACGACCCCTGGCTGGCCACCGACACCGTCTTCGCCGTCAAGGACGACCTGGTCGTGGACTTCACCCCGCTAGAGGGCGATGACAAGGCCACGATCGAGCTCGAGTACAATGTCATACTCACGCCAAAGGATTACAAGGAGAGGCAGTTTGAGGCAGGTTCTAGGCTATGAGGAACAACTTTTTTGTCTCATTTCTTTCTTGCTTCATGCAATGAATGTGTAACATCCCCCCCCCCCCCCCCCCCCCCCCCCCCCCCCCCCCCCCCCCTTTTTTTCCCCCCCCCCCCCCCCCCCCCCCCCCAAATTCCTATATTCAAGTAGCCAGATATTGTTTTCAATCTATCTATATATATCTATATATACTCGAAAAAGATTTCTCCTCATCAAGAATGAGAGAGAGAGAGAGAGAGAGAGGGAAAGAAAAGAGAGAGAAGAGTTGTGAATACAATACCGAATCACGATGCAGCTTGTCGTCAATGCGAGCTACCTTGCCTCGGAGACCATGGCCAATCATGAATCCCGATGCCATTCGGTTCATGAGACACGGATAGCCACGTGCATCATGTATCAAGGCATTGACGAGCAATGCGAACCCAGATGGCATGACAATAAAGATGTGGGGGAAATCGTTATAATTGTACTCTTAATCTCGTTCGTCCGTTGTCTTCTCCCTCTCCCTCTCTCTCCGTCGTACTCACCCACGTAGCATTGTTACCCCGCCAAGGACAACAGTCCCATCGTGACGCAACAACAGTCCTCTGAGTCATCGGCCGCGATTTGACCAAGAGCCCACGACGTTTGTCTGTGGGTTCCCCTCTACTCGTCTATCTGGGTTAGAACTCAACATGGCTGCGCAACGCAATGGTGCAGTAAACCACCCGAGGACATGCATGTACTCTCGTATCTGTTTTCTCGGTATGGCTGAAAGCAGACGAGATGATAAGCAAGGGAATGTCGCTAGCAGAATGTACGGAGTAATATTACTACTTGTAGTAACCTGTGATACGGCTCTTCCTTGCATGCACGCACAGCTTCACCCCGCCAATCCCGAACAAGGTCGCCACGGCAACCATTGTGCGGGTAAACAACCGACTGTCTACCTTTACGCCCCACCGATTCCTGTCAACGACGCTGGGAGGAGGGAGCAGTCCATTCACTATCCAGTGCAGACAACACACACAAAAGCGCAAGGATTTCGCTTTTCTCCTCTCATTTGTTGCCCGTTATTCCTCTTCTCATATATCGTTGTCGATTCTCTCTCTTTCTCTTCGTTGTGCCCTTCTTGGCCCTTCTTCCCCGTCTTCTCTCTATCCAGACGTTTCTTTTTCTTCTTTATTCGCTCCCGTTTTGTCTCAAACTCACACACAACTATCAGCTTCCGACCTGCCCATTCCAGCAAAAGAAAGCAGCCCTTGCAGCCGGTGAGACTCCCTGGGCGGAGGGACCGGGTCCAAACTCTAACGCAGTGTTCACCCCCCTCGAACGGATAAAATATTTCGAGTACATCCGCATACCAGTTAGCCATGGCAACGGTCAACGACACCGCTGCCGCTGCCGCTTCCCACGGCGGAGGAGTAGAACCGAACAAGCCATCCATCATCAAGTCGTTTGTCCATCGCCGTCAGCCGTCCAAGGGTGAAGCACTAGTACCAGCACCTCTGTCCGCGGAGATACAGCACGTCGACAGCAGGAGCACCAGCGCCGAGCATCATCAGCCTCCCACAACCATGGCGAGCCGCTTCTCCAGAAGGATCAACAACAGCCACAACGGCAGCGGTGATGCCCTGGGAGAACTCCAGCAGAACCAACAAGAGCCCCCTGTGCTGCGTGAACAACAGCAACCACAACAGAAGCAGCAGCAGCAGCAGCAACAGCAGCAACAGCAACAGCAGCAACAGCAACAGCAACAGCAACAGCAGCAACAGCAACAGCAACAGCAGCAACAGCAACAGCAACAACCTGACAGCAAACCTCGAGGTCGCTCACGCTCACCTACAAAGAGCGGCGTGCTATCCAGCAACCCCTTCCGATCCCGCGGTCAATCGACGGACCAGTCCCGCTCAGCGTCACCTACAAAGTCTACGAGGTCCAGAGGTCTCGCTGGCTTCCTCTCCCGGCCCAAGTCCCTCATTGGAGGCGTCGATCCCGATGCGGCGAACAATGACAACAGGACCAGGGAGAACAAGGAGAACATGAGTCCGGGTGGCTCGCCCGCGACCGAAATCCACCCACCGCCCATCTACGCCCAGTTTACCAGCGACGCATCGGTACGGCAGGCCCAGCGTGCCAGCCTCCAATTCGGGGGATACAGCAACAGCGGCAGCGACTCATCACGGCGTCCCACAGCGAGGGAGCGCCCCAAATCGTACCATGCTTCCGTGACGGCTGATCCCCAACGACAGGGATCATTCAGACCCCCGCAGCCACCACCACACGGCACGAGGGACAGCACACCTTCTGCCAGGGAGGCCGATAGCAACAGCAACCACAGGAGCAGAGCCCTCCAAGCCCTCTCCGGTGCCCGGCGAGGCGGTGGCGGCGGTGTCGGTCACAGCAGGGCACAGTCTGCCGCCATACCCGGGCGTCAGGGCAGCAACGAGTCCCTCCAGGTGCAGCCCGACGAGATAGACCGACACCTCGAGGCCATGCTCGACAGGCGGAACATTCCCGAGAACCAGCGGTACAAGATGCGCAACCTCAACGACACCATCAAGATGGAGTTTATCCGCCAGGACTTTGCCGAGATGCAGCAGGCTGCCGCGGCTGCAGCTGCCGCAGGCGGCAGCGGTAACAGCAGAAGCAGCGGGGCCGGCAACAGCAGGCCGGGAGCAATGACATCGTCAGTTGCAGCTGAAGCCGCAGCACCGTCGGCAGCCGACAAGTCGTCGTCGTCGGCCATCGTATCCGGCGAAGATGCTGAGCCGCCGGAGAAGCCGAAGCACAGCCGCGGCAGGAGCTTCACGTTTGGCCGATCAAAGAAATCCAAGGGTCAGCCGGGCAGCAGCAGCCGGTCACCCTCCAAGAAGTCCTGGAAGGACGGTGGCGCGTCTCTAGGACGGCACTTCCGTACGAAGTCATCCGATAGTCTGGCTGCCGACCGGCCGATGTCTTCGTCTTCGGGTATGACGGGGGCAGCAGCCGGTGGCGTGACGTCGTATCTATCGTCGTCGGGCTTGGGAGCAGGAACGGGCAGGCAGACGGCAGCCAACAATTTCCTGTCCAAGCTCAAGATCCAGCAGGGCCCCGGGGACTACGTGGCTTACCTGTCCAAGGTGCGACAACCGGAGCTGGTCGAGGTGGGGAAGCTGCACAAGCTGCGGTTGCTCCTACGGAACGAGACGGTGGCCTGGATCGAGGACTTTATGGAACAAGGCGGTATGACGGAGATTGTTGGGCTGCTCAACCGCATCATGGATGTGGAGTGGAGGTTAGTTTTTACCCTTCTTCTTGTTCTCGTTCTTCTCCCCGCCCCTCCGCCTCCCTTTGTCTCGTTTTCGTTTTCCCATCCCTTCTCGGCCTGTTTCTATCATTTTTCCCCCCTCTCTCCTTCCTTGTTTCGAGTCGCTTCTGTGCTGTTGCATGTTACTCTCACGCTCTATCATGCATTTACACGCACACTTGCATACGCATGTTGCATGCGACACATGAGGGGCAACGACAACGAAGAGAAGAAATATATCTGAGAAAAAGACAGCAGAGGGAAAAAGGACAAGGAGGAAAGGAGAAGAAGAAAACTAATAGCTCATCATATTATGCAGGGAAGAACACGAAGATGCACTCTTACATGAGAACCTGCTCTGCCTCAAGGCCCTGTCCACAACGGCCCGCGGCATGCAGCACCTGCACACAATCCAGGCGGAGCTGTTCCCCAAGCTCCTACACCTCCTCTTTGACCCCGAGAAGAAGGGACCGAGCGAGTTCACGACGCGCAACATCGTCACCTCGGTGCTGTTCGCGTACATATCGTCGGCATCGCCGGCAGAGCGCATCGTCAGGGCGGCCAGCGTGGCCAGACACCTGCGCGATCCGGAGCCCGAAGAGGGCAGCCGTCCGCTGCCGTTTGTGTCAGACATGCACCAGGAGAGACCGTACCGGGTGTGGAACAAGGAGGTGGTCAGCGTGACAAAGGAGGTGTTTTGGATCTTTCTGCATAATCTCAATGTCGTGTCCCTATCGGCGAACGATCTCGTCAACAGCAACGACAGCGGCTCTGACGACGCGAGCAACAGCGGCAACGGCAACGGCAACGGCAACGGCTACTCTTACATGAACGGCCACTTCCCGCAGGAACGTCCCCCGGTCCCGGCGGCACCCTACGTCGGAGGCGTAGAGTGGGACGCGACGAACTACCTGGCCTCTCACCTGGACCTGCTGAACGCGGTGCTGGCGTGCACGCCAACGGCCGAGGAGCGCAACGAGCTGAGGGCGCAGCTGCGCATCTCCGGGTTTGAGCGCTGCATGGGCGGCAGCATGCGTCTGTGCAAGGAGAAGTTCTACGGGGCCGTGCACGACGGCCTGAGGACCTGGGTGGCCGCGGCAGCAGATGACGGTTGGCCCGTCAAGGACGTCAGGTTTGGGCCGCCTCCGCCTCCGCCGGCTTCCACGTCACCGAGCAAGATGGGTCAGTCTTCTCCGAATAAGAACGCGCCTAGGCTTGAGGTTCCCAGGCTGGACTTTCTGAACTGAATTCCGGCTCTGCGCGTAGAGGGTAAAGAAGAGAGAGAAGAAGGGAAGGCCTCCGCCCGGGACCACCCTTCCCTCCTCTATACCTGCGATGTTATCGACTGCTGGCAGGGGTGGGTTCCATCCACACTGACATGTAGTTTTTTTTTTTTTTTTTTTTCGACATTCTCTTTCCTTTGTGTATCTTCCTACTTTTCTTCTTTTCTCTTATTCTCTTTGGCACGGATTGGCATTAACGAGTTTCCTTCTTCTGTTCTTTGCTTTTGTTGTTACTGTTGGCAGACATTGGTGTTTTTTTTCCCCCGTTCTTTCTGGCATGGTGTATAAATTCCTCCTCACTCACTTGATAATGAAATGATGCAGTTCTTTCTCCTTTCAATCTCGGTCCATCTCCCAAGTAATGAGGTGCGATCAAGTCAACAACTGGACCCCCCCCCCCCTCTGGTCACTGGTGCAAGCATCGTATCACAATTGCAGAATAGGTGACCCGACAACATGGACGCTAGATGTGACAATTTCTCACTGCTCCTAGTTATTCGTAAGAAATCACATATATAATTATAGATAGAAAGGAAGAGAAGGAAGGGAAAAAAAATGGAAGAGACTATATGTCAAGGTCTGACGAGTAATACTGTCGTGTCCAGTTGACATGTCATGTATATGTCTGCCTGCGTGCAGTCTCCCTTGTAAGGGGCAGGGCAGGACAGGCAGGGATGAAGTTTTTGACAGGTTGGTTACTGACTGATAGTCTTACTGATACGGGAAGGTCATGAGATCATGATGAGGACGGGAATGTAATCAGGGCTAATAAAATGATGTAAAGCTTTTAGCTTCTAGCAGGTATCAATATCGAGCTGTTGGAGAGTAGGAAGCCGATGGGCCATATGCATACCAACTGACGACGTAGCAGAGCATGATGTATCCGTATACTGACTACTATTATCAATAATACTCATCATTGGTAGCGGGAGGACAGGTAATCCGACAATGCTGGACGATCAGGATTGACCATGGGAAGACGATGGAAATGGATGAGAGAACAACCGGAGAATAAAATAAGAGATTTTTTTTTTCTAAAAAAAAAATAAAAATAAATAAAAATAAAATGTAAAAAAAAACACCCCCCTCAAAAAAAAAAAAAGAGTGTGGGATCGCTCGCTCTCCCAACACACCCGAGGGCACGGTACCAAATCACCCTGAAGCCATTGTCTTGGTGAACGGGTACGAGTATCGAGTAGTGATATCAGGTGTTATAGGCGAGACAGGATGAGCACATAATAATATTGACGCCGAGGGAATGATGCAGGGAACCGCGACGTCACAAGCCAAGATGAATGTATCCGTTTTGAGGTGGGCTGTTCTTACTTTGTAATGATATTGTATGTTATAAATATGTAATAATATGTAATAATACTGTGTATACTTCGTACTCGACAGGTAACAATAGTCAGGAGAGCATTACGACGTAGTATTGATTAACATACTATCCATACTACCAGGTACCTTCATCACACACGGCAGACACGCACATGTCATAAATTGACGCTGTAGGTTATAATGGCAGAGAAGGCGTCTCGATCTGGGGTCATCCATCCTTCCCTCTCTATTGTTCTTTTATCTTCCTTCCCTTCTCCCTTCTTTCCCTCATCATATCACTACTACCTAGTACCTAGTAATATCAAGTATTGTTATTCCTGACACATCTGTGGAAAAGAGATAACAAGGCTAACTATGCATGTCCCCCCCCTCCCCTCCCCTTTCTGGGTCCGGTCTTTTTCCCCAAGAGTCTGGATGACTGAGTCACCGGTAGACTGACTGTACGTGTACCCATTACTTATTACTGCTACTACTCGCGATGCTCTAGACAGAGATGCCGACCGGGGAAGACAAGCGTCATCTGCTATTACTGGTTAGTTACTATCATGCCCGCTAGGGATGATCCCGCGACGACGATCTTTTCAGAAGGGGGGGGGGGGGGGGGGGGGGGGGGGGGGGGGGGGGGGGGGGGGGGGGGGGGGGGGGGGGGGGGGGGGGGGGGGGGGGGGACGATGCCGCAACGAGTACGAGTATCCGTGCGCGCAGCAGTAATGATACTGGGCAGAGTATAGATGGGATGCCATGTCAGCCCTCTCGGACGCAGAGAGGCGTTGCATCTTATTGCGGCTGCTTCTATTACCTAGTCCTTGGGTTAAACGAAGTCATCGTATACGTCGTACTCGTATGGCGGTGTCTGTTACCCGATATGGTATATGCGTCGCTCCTTCCCTCGACAGTTGTTGTACCTGTCGCTCATGCCTGCCTGCCCTTCGTTTCTTCTCTCTCTCTCTCTCTTTCCTTCTTCTCGATTCTTGATTCCTTTTCTTCCATTGAATCGTCATTACCCCTCTTTTATTATTTTATGCCTACCTTTTCTTTTATCGAAACAATCCTAGGCTCTGCTTTTAATCCGGTCATTGCCAACAGTTGCGTCGTCATACTAAGTAACACTAAACTCTAGGTGAGCTCCAGTATACGTTGCTGCTCCTATACTTCTGCACGAGTAGACTGCTTCCCCTTCTCTTCTCCCTCCATGACGATGCCCCTCTGTACAGAGTAGCTGTGCTAGGATATACTAGGTAACCTCCCCGCAGCCTGTACGAGTAGGCGTAGTAGATTGCCCGTTCTGGTGCTAGCTGAAGCGGAGGTGGTATTTAGTGGTGGCTTGTGGGCTTGTGGCTGGCTTGATGCTGAATTGCCCTGGTAAATTATTTCCAAATTCTTTTTTATTTATCTTTTGAGGCCGCATGTGTCTTGTGGTACTAGTAGTATTATTAGTACGGAATAGATATACTCTGGTCAGTGATATCCTGTTTCTTGGATTCATTTCTTGCCGTTTCTTGTTGGTTCTTGGAATATCCCCCTCCCCCCCCCCACTAGTTACGTAGTAATGTATTATTATATGTCGCACTCGGCAATCCCACGGGTCGGGATATTACTCTCCGGAATTGACGATTGGACATCCTTCCTTGGTGTTTAGCGTTTCGTGCTTCTCTTTCTTCTATACCTCTTACCGACAGTGGACAGAGTTATAGTCCATAATACTGTGCCTCCGATCTGTCCTCCTGTCTCTTCATCTCCCTTTCCGTCACGGTGACTGTTATGCGAGTACCCCAACTACTCCGTACCCCTCCTCCCATCCACCATGATCATCATCGTCATCATCAATCCTCGTCAGATCCACCATGTACGCCAGAGCTGGGACCGCCACCATAGTCTATGAGTATTACATGCTGTTATATGCTGCAAAAACGTACCACCGGTAGCCGCGTGTACGATGCAAGCCTTGCACATGTGATGCATTCACCTCCTTCTCCGGTATGGACTCCCCTTCCTTCCTACGGCTGAAGCTCTCTGATTGCCTACCGCATAGCTGGGCGCAAGCCGACCCCACCCGCACACTCTGGAACCTTGCTAGCCTCAGTGACGGGTCTTTGAAGCATTCAACACCCTATCCACTTTCTACTCTTTTTTTTTTTTCCTCCTTCCACCTTCCTCTGCCTGTGCTTGTGCTTGTGCCTCTAACCAGACTCGGGGTTTTGACACACGCACACACGCACACCAACCTACTCACTCACCTATTAGTCACTCATCCTCCCACTCATTCGCTTCGCTCACTCGCATCGACGCCACGTCTCCGCTACAGCTACCGAGTGCAACGTACGAGTACACCTTTATCACGATAGAGTGCTCCGTACACCCGTACTGCTATTACCCAGTCGGTAATAATAGTACGAATAATGAATGGTACTGATACTACCTACAGGCTACAACAAAGACCTCACCCCTCCCCCACCCCCCCCCTGGCATCCTGCATGCCCGCTCTTCTGGGACTCTACCCGTCCACCTTTTCTACTCCTCTTCGATCCCGCCTTGCTCCGGGTCTAGCCTGGCGCTGCCTCGGGGTCTACGGTCTAATACATGTACCTTTACGAGTATTATGTATGGAGTACTAGTTGGAAGTGAGTATCTTCTTTTGTCCTGGTTCTTTCCCTGTCTCCCCCATTACCGAGTCGGATCTCCTCCACACGCACAGGGCTCCTCCCCTCCCGGAAATCGCGCTTTCTTTACCCTCTCCGTCTCTCTACTTCTCTACCTCTCTGTCTCTCTCTCTCTCTCTACCTCTTCTCTCTGTCTCCTTGTCCCCCCTCCATCCTTCTTCCTACTCCCCCCCCCTAAAAAAAACCCCCCCGAATATCGTCCCGCTCCGTCCTTCCGCTGAAGAAGAACCCGCTCCTACTATTTTCTCTGTATCTCATGACGAAGTAATAATCTGACCAACATTTTGCCCCAAGAACCAGGGTCCCTCTCCACACACAGCAACGACAAACCCTGCCTCTACCCTCTGTCGGTATCGAGCATTACTCCGGACTCGCTCTCTCTTCCATCATTATTGATTATTCCGAGGGAAAAGCGAAAGTGATAGAGAGGGAGAGAGAGAGAAGCTGACGTAGTGATACTTTTTCTGTACAACTCCCACAACATGTCAATAAAGTAAGCATCTGCGACCAATTTCCTGCACGTCCGTCCTTGTCCCTGCCCTAGACTTACTAGCCTTCCTCCCTTCTCCAATCGTCACATACGCGTACCACTGCACTTCTTCCTCTATCTCTCTCTCTTTCCTTCACTCTCCTCTGTCCCTTTGTGTTACTCTTTCCCGTCAATCTTGTGCTGCTGTCCGTCATACACGACAAGCAGCTGACTTCGCTCGCCCTCTTTCCACACACACACACGCACGCACGCACGCACACATACATACATATATACACACACGCACACACGCACACACCCCACCACCACTACACGCGCACACACCCACATACCCTGCTCACTCTTCCCCATTCACTCGAATCACTCCCACTTCTACTGCGGGCCTCGAAGACTGGTCTCTTTTTTTTTTTTTTTTTCCCTTACTCTTCTTCCTCTTCACCTTTGACTTCTTCTTCCTTTCCTCTTCCCTCTACTACACCTCTCTTCCCTCAACTTTCTTTGTTGTTCCCATTCGTCCTTCCCTATCACCATCCCGCCGTGGTCATGGACGACTTGGCATCATCATGGACAACCCTCACGACTACCTCATAACTACGTCGCCTCGTTCCAGACCGGTAGATCCTGACAATGCCACTAGCTGGGTCATGCTCAACCAGTCGGGCTTCGTCAAGCTCGGTAATGAACGAATCCTCCAGAAGCTTGACTCCCGCATATCGTGCGAGCTGTCGGTGCCGACAGAGCTGAAGACGAGATGCGCACAATTCCATCGCAAGAGTGATCGTGGGACATTGTTTCTCACAAACAAGAGGGTAAGTCAGAGACCATGCGGCTTCAACAAGGGCAAAAAAAAGCAAAAGTTTCCTTCGCGTCTCCTCCCCCCCCCCTCCCCTCCTCCATCTTAGCAATGGCAATTCTCCCCCATCCTGACCAAACATGCCAGATTGTCTACCTACCTGCCAAGCGAGATCAGGAACCCAAATTCGAGTCATTCAGCGCCCCCATACTCAAGTTTCAAGACTCGACTACCTCTTCGTCTATGTGGTGGGGCTGGGTCTGGAAGTCGGACTGCATTCCCGTCTCCGGCGGTGGCATCCCCCCCGATATCCCACGTATAGAGGTCCGCTTCACCTTTTCCGACGGTGGCATGATGGATTTCAACGAGACGTACATCCGTCTCAGGGAGAGACTATATCAATTTCATGAGATGCGACGAGAGATGGGTGCCGGTGCCGATGTCCCGGACGAGCCTCTTCCCGCCTACGAGGAGCAGCCTTCCTCCTCGACGACGGGTCCGCAATCAATAGCAGCACCCGCGTCGGCGGCTTCGGCAGCAGCAGCGATTCAGAATGCCCAGCCCCAGACGGCACCGAGCACGGCTGGCCGGAGACCCGATGAGCCGCCGCCTGGTTATGACGAAGCTCAGGCTCAACAGATTAGTATACAACTGGAGGACCATATTCGTGACGGAGCCAACCGCGGAGACAATGCGTAATATTCTGTCTCTTCCCACCATTGCCCGCTTTTTTTTCTTCCCACCCTCGTTTTCTCTTGTTCTCACTCTTCTTTCGTCTTTTTTTTTTCAAGCAAACATTAGCGGTCATGTGATTCCATGCTTTCTTCTTCTTCTTTCCTTCTTTGTTTGTTTTTCTTCTTCTTCTTCTCCTTTCATCAATTCTCTCTTCAGTTCAAGTGCGGTTCGTTGATTCTGGGAGGGTATCTGTGCTTTTCCGTTTATATCCAACGACACATGGTTGTTGCATTCCCAAGTCTTTTCTTCTTTTTTTTCTCTCCCTGTTTCTTGTTGTTTTTCGTTTCTACGAACGAGACTTGGACGGCGTATACTGCTTTAGAATTTATACTCGGACTCCTTTTTTTTTCTTTTCTACACACAAGTTGCAAGGAGAATGTGTGACAGTTTGCTGCTATCGGTGTCAATATCGTACGAGTAAAGGCTAGTAGTAGTGTTATTAATAATTGTAGTAGTGAGTAGTACATGTACCTGTTACCCGTGACAGATTGTAAACATTGATTATCCGTATCGCTGGATGTATAATACTATAATTCTGTATCCGTAATCTGTACATATATGTCTTACTCGTACTCGTACAGGTACAGATCGTACAGGTACAGACGCTCGGGCCCAGTCACGTGACTCCAGTCGATTGACCCTCCAAAGGGAAAGAGGAGGGAAAAAAGGAGACAAGAAAAGGCCAAACGGATCAGAGGCCAGTGGTGGACCAATCAAAATCCCTCAATTCCACAGCAACCAGACCTATTTTTCTCTCTTCCGGGGCTTGTCTGGCCGAGAGCTTCCGAATAGCCAATTCTGCCCGTTGCGCCGCGCGAAATCCACTCCTTCCAATTTTCCACCTTGCAAAACCCCGTCCACCCGTCCACCAACCCAGACACAGGCACGACTGCCACGTCCCACACATCAACATCCCCGACCGCCTACACGCACACACTCCAAAGGAACAATCAAACAAGATGGGCATCTGGGACGTTTTCACCGATATCGTCGAGGCCGCAACGCCATGGAGCGTCGTCGAAGCTGAGGCTCCGGCTGCCGAGGAGGAACCTCAGGTATGATACGAACGGTCACCTGGGAAGCAAGGGAGGAGGAGAGGGGGGGGGGAGGGGAAAGTCACAATCGGACTGCTACTGTTTCTGGGGAGGGCATGGCCTTACTGACTTCAATATTAGGAGGAGTCCACCGAGTCCGAGGAGAAGACTGACGAGCCTGAGGAGGACGGTGATGCCGAGGCCGAGGGTGGTGATGAGGAGGATGAGGATGAGGACGAGGATGATGAGGATGAGGAGGAGGAGCTCGTCGACCCCAAGGATACTTTTGAGGAGGGTGAGTGTTCTTCTCCATCCTTTTCTTGTTCATGCTGATGCAAGGAGTGGCCTTGATCCTACAGAGTCAAGTCACTCTAAGGATTGGATTGAAATATCCCCCCCCCCCCTCGAGTGTGAGAGAATGTGCTGACAAGTCAATAGAGTGCCGAAACTCTGCTCAGTGCGCCCCCGCCAAACACCACTTTGAGCACTGCGTCGAGCGCGTCCAGGAGCAGCAGGAGAATGGCGGTGCCAAGGAGGACTGTGTCGAGGAGTGTATGTTTCCCTTTCCCTCTGCGCCAGCTTCCACTTGTTTTCAACTCTGTTTCTTCTTCTCTCTTCTCCTCCCCCCTCCTTCTCCATCCCTGTTCCCCCTTACCCCTTACTGACCTGACCAAATAGTCTTCCACCTCGCTCACTGCGCTACCGAGTGTGCTGCTCCCAAGCTCTGGGCCAAGCTCAAGTAAACGACTCTTGCCCATCCGACAATCGCCAATATTCCATGTGCCGAAATGGTATCGTCATCCTTTCATCTCCGGGGAGGGACATCAAAGAAAAACAAATAAACAAGAGAGATGAACGATCTACGGCGAAACAAAATAAAAAGAGAAGAGGCGTCGACTGTGGGTTCCTTTTTTTTTTCCCTCTCTTAATTACTCTTTTGTATACTACCCCTCTTCCAAATGTTATATGCTTTCCTGCATAATAGAAGTTCCCCACGCTTGATAGAGTTGTGTGTGTGCCCTTTGCAAGAGAGCGCATGTGATGAGATGCATGATACGACCTTGTTCAATCCTCGTTATCTTTGTAATGGATTACCCGACGTGTGATTACTCTGCATCAACCCCATATCTCGAGCTATTGCTAATGGTCTTGCCCCGGCCTATCTCCTATAACATGTGACCATGTATTAAGACTGCTTACTTTGTTACATCGAAACCAAAGTGGAAGGAGCAGCGTCCGAGGTCCACGGAAGGATGCATCACAAGCTGGCAGTCACGAGCTGGTACTCAGAAAGGAAAGAAGAAAACATGATGGAAAGAAATAGAAAAAAATTCGTAACTACATAGCTCTGACAAAAAAATAGTCAGGTCTCGAAAGGCATGGTCCAATAGCTTTCAACATGGACTCTCGCCTCCCTCACTCGATATGACCTGCAGCATTCATACTGCAGACTCGGCTCGGCTTGGAGAAGAAGGAAGAACGAGAACAAGAGAGAGAGGGGGGAGATGGAGAGTATGTGTATGTGTGTTGATTGTCAGTAAATTAATCGTCGGAACGAGGAAGGAACCAAGTCTCTCACATCTCGATATCCATCTTCTCCTCCCCCTTCCCCTCCTTCCCCTCCCCCTCCTCCTCCTCCTCCTCCTGCTGCTGCTGCTGCTCCTCCTCCTGTCCCCCCCCCTCCCCCCGTGCGCCAACTTTTCTCCTCCTGTACTCTTTCCTTCCCACGCTTCCCGGGTCCAGAAAGTCATGACCAACAGCGGTGGCATCAGCAGAAGCAGAAGCAATAACAACAGTAGCAGCCGCAACCACAACAGCAGCAGCAGCAGCAGCCAACCATAACAGAATGGAATCGAAGTTCTGGATGGCCCGTCTCACTGGCCGCGATGACAAGACCCAACCAGAAGATGTGCGTGACAATGCCGTCGACGCAAGTATCCGCGACGGAGATGGCAGTCGGCCTTATTACCGAACCTACAAGCGTCGGTGGTTCGGGCTGGTGCAGTTGACTCTTATGAATATCATTGTATCATGGGATGTAGGCTCTTCTTCTTCTTCTTTTCATCATTTATATATCACCAGAGACAAAGTAAGACGACAATACTAACAATGCATACTAATGCAGTGGCTGACGTACGCCCCTGTCGCCACCAAAGCGGCTTCCTACTATGACGTATCGGAGTCGGCAATCAACTGGATCAGCACGGCCTTCTTCCTGGCCTTTGTAGCCATGTCCCCGCTGACCATTCTAGTGCTGCACCGCAGCGTGAGGCTGTCGTTCATCTGTGCCGGCGTCCTCATCCTCGTGGGGAACTGGGTACGCTACGCCGGGTCCGCCAGCCGCTCGGGGGGACACTACGCCTACGCCATGGCGGGGGAGGTGCTCGTCGGCTTCGCCCAGCCCTTCATCCTGGCCGCGCCCGCGCGCTACTCGGACCTGTGGTTCTCCAACCGCGGTCGCGTGGCTGCCACGGCCGTCATGAGCCTGGCTAACCCGTTCGGAGGAGCGCTGGGCCAGCTCATCAATCCGTCTTGGGTGTCTGAGCCTGCCGACGTCTCCAACATGGTCCTTTACGTCTCGATTATCGTATTCCCACCCCCCCCCCCCCCCCCCCTCCTTCTTTCTCACTCTCAAGACGAGAACACTCTGACAAGGGAAACAAGTCCAGCGTGTGCGCCGCTCCGGCCATCCTCGTGCCCGGCAGACCGCCCACCCCCGTTGGCCCATCGTCCGAGACGGTCAAGCTCAGCCTGCGCGAGTCCGGTTCGGCCCTCACGCGCTCGCCGGAGCTGTGGCTCGTCCTGGTGCCCTTCGCCATCTACGTCGGCTTCTTTAACTCTCTCTCGTCGCTGCTGAACCAGATGCTCGTCCCGTACGGCTTCAGCGACGACGAGGCAGGCATCGCGGGAGCGGTCCTCATCGTCGTCGGCCTCGTCTCAGCCGCCGTCACGTCGCCCGTCATCGACCGCACAAAGTCTTTTCTCCTGGCCATCCGCGCCCTCGTGCCCCTCGTCGCGGCCTCCTACCTCGCCTTCCTGTGGATGCCGGCCACCCGTGCCCTCGCCGGCCCTTACGTTGTCCTCGCCATCCTCGGCGCCTCGTGCTTTTCCCTCGTCCCCGTCGTCCTCGAGTACCTCGTCGAGCTGTCGCACCCGCTAAGCCCAGAAGTCACGTCCATCGCCGCCTGGGCGGGCGGTCAGCTACTCGGCGCAGTCTTCGTCATCGTCAGCGACGCGCTGGTCGCCGGGCCCAACGCCCACCCACCCCGGAATATGCACAGGGCTCTCGTCTTCCAGGCTATCCTGGGGATGCTGGCTGCGGTGCCGCCCCTGTGTCTGGGTCTGTTTGGCAGGAAGCACAAGCTTCATCAGAGGCGGCTGGCGTCTGACCAACAACGTTCGAACCGGGGGGTGTAGTCCTGTTTTGCTCCTTTTCCATCTACTTTCTCTCCTCCCCTATCATTCTCTCCCTTCTTTCTCCTTTCTCCTGATTTGGTGACGGGTACACCCGGCGGTCAAATTGTCAGAGCGGGTCTGATTTGCAGCATGTTTTGGATTTTGGATTTTGTCAATATACCCCCCCTGGAATTGTAAGGCTTTTTTTTTTTGGTATGTTTGTATGCAGTTACGCCTGGGTCCTTTTCCCGAATGCTTGATGACTATTATCATACCTTGGTGAATATCCAATCACAAGCCCAAAATATCCTCCAACTCCTCCCTCATATCTTCCATCTTGACCCAGCACTCCCTGCCCAGCTCCTCGAAGCTGGACAGACCCTCCTGGGTGACGGGCATAGCGCTCCTCTTCCTCCCCACACCCCAGCTCAGGTTAGGCAGCACCTTCCCCTTAGCATCGCGCAGTCCCTCGACGCTGGCGTCGTCCGCCGTGCCGGCCGCGACGCCTTGGTTGTCCGCCAGGGAGCCGGTCCACCCCCACCCGTCGACCTCGGTCCTCTTGACGAAGCTCCGTCCGGACGGGTCGGTGGCGCTACCCCACTTGGACCTCTGAGCGTCCAGGGAGTCGAGCGCCTCCTGGTCGCGGAGGGTGAGCCAAACGACCGAGCTAGCGCCGCGGTAGGCGTTGCCCACGTGCCACGGAGATCCGAGCCACCGGGCCACCACGAGGGCGAGCTGGTACGCCCAGAAGAGGAACCAGGGCACGGGGAACAGGGAGGAAGCCACGATACCAGGGTGGGAGAGGTAGATGCGGGGTGCCTTTTGGTTCTTGCTGTTTTTGTTGTTGTTGTTGCTGCTGTTGTCGTCGTCGCGGTAGATAGAGGAAGAGTTGATTGTGGAAGGAGAGGTCAGGTAGGCATCGGCCAGGGGTTTGACAGACGGCAAGGTATGAGACAGGATGAGGATGTCGGTCAGACGCTTGGCAGACTCGTAGGGTGGGGTGGTGGGGTTGAAGGCCTGCATGTCCGAAGGGATGAGGTCACCGTCGTGAGCCTCCAGGCTGCTCGTCCAGATGATGCGACCCGGGTCCAGGGCCGAGTCGGCCGGACGGCTGAGGAGGGGGAGGAGCTGGCGGGCTAGGACGTGGTGGCCTAGTACGCAGGCTGTAAAGACTTGACCGAGGAGTGGTTTGGGGGGCTGTTCAGGTCAGTCAGAGTATTGTCTTCCCTATCTCCTCATTGCTTTCTTTCCCTCTTTTTTCCCCCCAACTTCATCAGGGGGTTACGACGAAGAGAGGGAGGTGGAGAGAGGGAGAGGAAGGAAAAGAGAGGGGAAGGATGGAAGCTCACATAGTTGTACTCGGCCTGCTCATTGAGTATACTGGTAGGCATAGCGAGCTTGAAATCCGGCCAGGTGACGCTCGTCACGAACCCCCTGGAGACAAAGGACCACAGCGCCCCGGGGAGGCTGAAGCCCGACCACCCGCCGTACGCGGCGTTGAAGATGGCCGAGTCGATGCGTGGGATGACGACTCTCTCCAGCCTGCCGTCCGGACCCTCCGTGCCGGGAGGGTTACCGATGGTGCCCGTGCACATGCGTCCGGCGAGGGCGTAGACGGCTCGCAGGTCGCACAGGTCGACCTGCGGGCTGATGACGTGGATGCGAGCAGCGTGCGGTCTCCAATCCCATTCTGCGTCGGGCCCAGGAGAAGCGATATCGGGAGGAGGAGAGAGAACAGGAGAAGATGAAGAGGAAGAAGCGACGTCAGGAGGAGGAGTAGAGAGATAGCGTGATCGAAGCTTTGAGCAAGTCTGGGCAACACGCTCCGCGTAGAGACGTAGATGGCGGATAGCCTGACGAGACTTGGTTGCCGAACGAGTTGTCGGTAGAAGAATCAGGTGCGATGTCAGGGGTCGGGTGGCGAGGAATTCGTCAATGAGGCGTTCACACGCTGCTAGCCCGATGCCCCTTTTTTTTTGTCAAGCAGTTAGTACGTGTGTGACTTTTTCTTTTCTTTTTTTGCTCTCTTTCTTTCTCTCTCTCTCTCTCTCTCTCTCTCTCTCTCTCTCTCTCTCTTCTACTTTCTTCCTTCTACTTTCTCTCTCGATACGTATATATATATATATATATCATCATCATCATGTGCCCGATAGAGAAGAGAGAATAAACTACTCACCCGTTTGCTCCCGTTATAAGGACGAATAGATGGTCTTTGGGGTGTGCTACCTCCCACGGAGCAGATTGTTTCTCCGACATTTTGTCCTTGGTCTTCCCCTTGTTCCGTCGTTTCGTCTTTGCGATGGCTTCAAGTTTGCGTGTGACATGTATATGTGAGGAGGGTAGACAGAGAGAAGAGTTGTGAGTGGTGAAGCTGTTCGCTTCACATGAGAGAGGCGCGGAGCTTTGATATCCTGAGTCAGTGGGGAAAATCCATCAACCAATCGGATGACACATTCCAACCCCCTTTTTTTCCCCCTCTACTACCCAATATCTTAACTTGATACTAGTATTTATCAGTACGGAGTACTCGTAGTATTTCATAGTAAAGATACTCCTCCTACAATGCAAATCTCGCATACAAGACGGAAAACAGCAAAACGTATCAAAAGTTAAAACAGACTTCATATTGCAAAAGCGTCGCTTCGTGTCATGATATATAGTATACATAATAAGTTTTAACCCCCAATGATGGCCCTTCATATACACCAATTCAACCAGACTTTGCCCCATTACTCCTCATCATACCTAGGTCTGAGCTCATCGTACCTGACCTGATTAGGCCTCACTCCAGGCCTAATCCCTATCACCATCCCTGTTAAGACCCTCGGAGACAGCCTCGAGAATCAGATCCTTGGCCTTCTCCACACCCTCGGCCGTGCCGATGATCTCAATGGCCTCATCCTTGGCCTGGTCCCTGGGCACCTGGATCATGCAGCCGCTCTGCTTGCGGATGGCGTTGACCTTTGTGCCGTTGGGCCCGATGACGAAGCGGTACGTCTTGGGGTCGGGGAGCACGAGATAGCCCGTAGCGTCCGACTTGCGCGCCTGCTCGATCGCCTTCTCGATCGCCTCCTTGGCCTTGGCCACGCCCTCGGCTGACGACCCACGGAGCACCCACGGGATCGTCCCCTCCTCGCCCGCGGACGCCATCACCACCTTCCACGAGTGCACGTCGGCCGTCGAGGCCTCGTCGTCCGTGATGAGGGGGAGGGCGCCGCCCGAGCCGACCACCCGTCCCGACGTGTCGGGCTTGGCCGGAGGCGCCTGGCCAGCGTGGTCGACAGTCACCTGGTGGTTGTTGCGCAGCTGCCGGAAGAACTGCCCACCGTTCGACAGCGTGTGGTGCAGGTTGCGCGGAACCTGCACAGTCTCACCCTGCTGCTGCTTGACCAGCTTCTCGATGTGCTCCTTGGCCTTCTCCACATCCTCCGGGCGCCCGACGATCTTGACCCCCGTCTGGCCGCTGCCCTGGCGCGGCACGTCCACCGCCACCGAGAACTGCTTCTCCATCTGCCTCTTGGTGTCGCCGCCGCGTCCGATGAGCGATCGGTGCTGGTCTGCCGCCACCTCGACAACCTCCGTCACCTGGCTCTCGCGCTCCGCCACAATCTCCTGGATGCGCTTGATGATGTTGGCTACCACCTCGGTGCGGCCCTCGACCTTGATGCTGCTACCGTCGGCGTCCTGCTTGGGGAACTGAATCGTGCGGGCGAGCTCGCGCCTGTCGTCGGAGCCACCGGCCTTGACGACGATGTCACGAAGGTTGGAGCCTGGATATACGTCAGCTTGCTCAGTTCCTGTGGAGAGAGAGAGAGAGGCCCCGTGAGGACAGAGCTCGGAAAATAAGAATAAAAAGAAAAAGGAAACATACCGCTGGCTCCAATCAGAGCCCTGTGGTGCTTCTTGTCGACATCAATCGTTTGCGTAACAGTGTCGTCGTACACAGCCCTCTTTCCCTCGAGCACCTTCTTGGCCTCGGCGACCTGCTTGGCCGTGCCACGGATAACAATCTCGACAATGTCCGTGTCGCGGTCCGAGGGGACGTCTATCCTGGCGCCCGTGGCGGCGCGGAGCTCGTCGAGGGCCGCGCCGCCCTGCCCGATGAGCGAACCGACCTGCTTCTGCTTGACAGGCACCGTGGCCGTGTGCGAGTGCTCCTCGAGGTACTTGTACAGGGAGAAGATCTCGTCGCGGGCCTCGTCGGCGCCCCTCTTGGGACCGCGGATGATGACCTCATCGGGACCCTGCTGGCGGCGGCTGCTGCTCTTGGCGGCTGCCGGGCCGCCAGCCTCGCTACCGGTGTCGGCGTTGGACTGCTGGTCGTCGCTCTTGGCCGAGCGGGGGAACATGATGAGGACCTTGTATCGCGTCTGCAGGCGGTTGATCTGCGAGCCCTGGGCGCCGATGAGCTCGCGGTGGAACTTGGGGTTGATCTTGAGCACGTGCGTCACCTCATCCTCGAGCGTGCGACCGTAGCTCTGGATGTGCGACCGGGCCGCCTCGGCCTTGGCCTTGGGGCCCTTAAGATCCACTTGCCCATCGTGCACCTGTATCTCGACGTCGAAGCGGTCACGCAGGTCCTTGATGTTGCTACCGCCCTTGCCAATCAGGTGGTTGGCAAACTTCTGCGGGAAGTCAAAGGTGAGCGTGAAGCCGCGCTCCTTGTCATCCTGCCTCTCCTGCTCCACAAAGGCCTCCGACTTGGCCGCCAGCGCCTGTACAGCCGAGGCCGGGCCCCGGAGCGTGATGGTGGTGCCTACCTTAGTGACACGCACCGGGATCTGGTCCGCCACGCGGCTCTCCTGCTCCTTCTTGATGAAGCGCCTCAGCTTGTCGTGGTACTTGACGGGAACGTCCAGCGACACGGTGGCGAGCTGCTCCTGCTTGTTGATCAGGTCGAGGATATGGCGCTCCGCATCGGCGAGGCCCTGCCTGAAGGCGCGGACCTCGTCGTCGTTGGGCTTGGTGCGGGGCAGCTGGTATGGGCCTTCGGCGGGGTCGGGGCCCTCGAAGACCAGGAGCACGGGAGCGTTGGTCTCTCCGGGCTCGGGGACCACGACGTGGACGCCAAAGTTCTCCTTGACCTTGGGCGTGATATCGTTGCGGATGTGCTGGTGGAAGAAGGGGTCGATTGTGACGGGGTGCAGACGCGACGGAGGGTGGGCGTTGATGATGCTGCTAATGTCCGATTGGGCCCGGATCGCGTTCTTTCCCTCGCGCGAGTAGAGCTCCCAAGGGAGGGCGCCTCCCTCGGAGAAGGGCGTGTTGATGTGCGTGTTGTACAGCCTCTCGAGGCGCTCAACCTCCCTGCGGTGACGAAGGTAGCGTGTCACGAGGCCGGCATGGAAGGCAGCACCGCCGGGGGCGTTGCGGTGGAACCTGGAGATGTCGAGGTTGGACATTTGCATGCCCATGGCAAGGTCCATGGCCTTCTCAACACCGACTTGGACCTTGTCGGGCGGGCCGATGATGGTGACGAGGTCGTCCTCCTCCTCGGTTGGCAGCAGGATAGCACAGCCGGTGTCGGCGAAGAAGTCGTCGGTGGGGACACCGCGGTCACCAATGATGAACTGGTGGCGGCCGGGCTGGATCGACAGCTGCTCCATCTGGAGCTGCTGGGCAAGGTCGGCCGCACGGCGCTCAATCTCGGCGCGAGCCTTCTGGACGGCAGTGCGCTCACCAGCCAGCTGAATGTGGTTGTCCTCGGTGGGGACAAACTGGGGTCGGTCGTCAGCACCCAAGACGGGAGCCGTCGTATAGGCCTGGTGCGAGGGGACGCGGACCTGGACGTCGCTGTTCTCCTCCAGAGCCTGAGCGCTAGCGTTGTGGGCGCCGGCAAGGAAGGGGAAGAAGGCAGCGGGGATGCCGCGGACCTTGGTCTGGATATTGGCGGTCCGCTCGCTGGCAATCTTAAGAATCTCGTTGCGGGCGGAACCGGCAGCAAGGGTGTTGCCCTCGATAATGACGTCGATGGTGGCCTCGTCGTCGTCGTCGTCCAGAGGCTGGCTGGGGTCGATCTTGGGGAGCTGGATGCGAGCGCCCGTCTTCTCCTGGATGTTTTTGATTGTGGCACCGCCCTTACCGATGATGTGAGCGCGGGCAGACTGGGGAATGGGGACCCTGGTGGAAGTCTGTTTTTTTTGTCAGGTCAGCCATACGATACATCATGACTGCGTAGCCCCCGCGGGTCTCGGAGGAGTGGGTGGAATGCGGTAGCATACCTTGATGCCAATCTGCTGAATCAGGTCCTTGAGGGCCTGCTGAGCGTTCTCGGGGGGGCCGCTGGCGTCGAACTTGAGACGGCCGTTGGAGGCAGTAGACATGGTGAGGTTGGCCCTAGACCTGCGATTGATATCCTTGATGACGTCCGGGATGGGCTTCTTGAGCTGGCCGCGGGGGAGGATGTGCTGAGGCTCGATGAGGACGGACTCGAGGTTGCGGCCGGGGATGAACATGCTGGGCTTGGCGGCCTGGGGCGGCGGCGTGGCGGCAGCCGGGGTCGAGGCACCGGACGAGGCAGCAGCAGAGCCGCCGTTGGTAGCACCGGCAGACTTGGCACCCCAGACGGGGGCGACATTGGCGCTCTTGCCCTTGGAGGCACCCAGCTCAGGGAACAGCTCGTGCGACTGAGTATCGAGCTGGTCCCTGGACTTCTTGGGCGCCGGGACGGAGAGCTCGGGGTCCTCGGCATCCTCGACGGTGGCATGATGGTAGCCATGCTGTTCCATGAGGGCGGCGGCGGATGTGTTGGCAGGGGCCCCGTCGGTGGGCTGAGCAACAGTAGACGAAGACATTGTTCTTGCGATGCTTTCGGGGATGATTATACGATTGACCAGAGGAGGGGGAGCTCTAGGAAGCACACACACATATGCACGTCAGCGTGGGAGGCGGTAACATCGGGAGAATACGGGCATGGGGAACTCACCGGAGTTGATATCGAAAAACTCCGAGGCAAAATATGGAGTGCTTCGATCCTGCACACCCGCTACGGAAAGCAAGAGTTGGATTGAGGGATATGAAATAGGCTGGAAGCGGGAATTGGGAGGAGTAGGTGTAGGTAGCAGTATGCCGATCTGACTCTGGACTAAGAGACCAGGGAAAGCGATGATGACGGTGAACCAGTGGCCGAAGAGGATTGAACCAAGTGAAGAGTGAGCCGACACCACCTTGGGATTAGGATGGCACCGGGGGAAAAAAGAGAGGGGAGATGGGGAGAGGAGAAGGGAGGATTTCGTACGCGGCGATGCGAGGTGTAGAAAGGAAGGAAGAAAAGACTGTGGTCAATGCATCGGAAAGTCTGGCCAGATATTACTACAACGGAGAGTATGGAGTCTTGGGAGCACGAGCAAATCGGTGAGCCACCAAAAGGCTGCTGCTTAGGGGTAGGGGGGTACTAAGCCATCTTTAGGGGGCCCAGGCTAAGAGCGAGGGGCAAGGGCCGCTGGGGCGCAGGGTCCGGTGGCACTGTTCCAGGGTCCGGCGGTCTAGTAGCAGCCCCTAGAAGCTTCCCTGCTCGTACCTGTGCATGTAACCCGTCTGTAGGCTTAGCAGGTGCCTTCCACTGACGAAGCTCGTGCGCCCCAACAAAACCCCCCCCCCCCCCCCACCCTGACAATTGGTGCTCTCCTGACTGGACTACCCTGCAGGAAACCGACTATGTGTGAGGAGGCACTATGAGGCCACATGTGACGACAAGATGTTGGTGGTTCTTGTCGTGATAATGCTTTTTTTTATTAGAGCCACTGATGGATATTCTTTTTTCTTGTCCGTACTCATCATGAACATGTGGCCGTGACCAGGACAATGAATATATAAGATTCTGTATACTTCTTGCCATACTTTCTGCCGTCTTGGTGGGCAGAGAAAAACAGAGTTGTCATCCTTGTGTTTGGACGTTGACAAGGACAGTGTCGAGTTTGGTTATGTAGACGTGAAGGTCACACGAGCAGAGCCATGTGCGAGGGGGAATCGAGGTGCGTAGGAAGAAGGTGTCTAGATAACAGGTCGGGATAGTATATGGAGTTGATGGATAACAAGGGAACGTTTATGAGAGCACACTATAAACACGGCCGGCATGCGTTCAAGGTGGGTTAGATGTCATGTAGTGTTAAGTTCTTGTCTTTTGCATTATTACTATAACTATTGTGACGTCGGACTCGATGGTCTTCTCGTGGAGCCTGGCTTACCTAATATACGTACGATTTTCTATAACAACACTGTCCTTGTCAACGTCCGCACATGAGGATAGCTCTGCTCTTCTGCTCACTTCACCCCCCCCCC